TTAATTTCATAAATATGCACATACCCAACCAACATTGATGTCATTCTACAAGGCTATGCAACCCTCTTTCAACTACTGTATACGTATATAGTTAATAATAGTTTTCCTTCCTGAAGAGCCTCTGTAGCCAAACGCTTGCAGCCTTGGCGTGTGTAGTATACATCACAGCTGATTGCTTAAACGGGCCCCCTTGGGACTAACTAGCTCCCACATTGACCGTGTGCACCTCTGCTGGCTCGCAGTGCATGCCCAGCCCAAAAGGGCACCGTTCACAGCATTGAAACCGTCAGAATCCCGACCTTTCATCCACCGTCACGTTTTCCTATGCAAATGAAAAACCTGTCATGGCGGGGAGTACTGACCTGTCATGGCATTGCTCGGTGTCTCAACTGCCAAGACACTAATACGAAGGGTGTCTGCTCGATCGAACTTTTGTGTGCAAGACCAAGTCGGTCTCTACTGACTGGTCCTTGTTCAAGCATGGATCTTTTTCCTCAACTCACGATGAAAGATTTCTATACTGTACTATGAGTCTACGAGTAAGCACTATTCTTAAACACACGGTTCTTCGACCATGCATTCAGATTCATAGAGATTCACGCCCTGCCAGGCTAAACTCCTTCTTTAGCCTGCCGGGCACCATTCCGCCCTACCAAGGCCTTTTTCCTGAGACTACCATGGAGAACTTCTAGGACCCAGCCACCCTCACCTGCCAGGTAAGAGTGAACCACCTCCGCATTGCTCCACACACCGCTGCACACGGGTCGCACAGCGCACCTCCAAGCCTTCGTTCGTCCCAAGGAGGCAATGTGTCGCCGAGCCTGGCGATCCCGAGCAGCCGACCCCGGGAGTGAGTCACCCTCCGGAGTTTGTTTGGGGTTCTTTTTTGTGTGTTTTGTTCGGTTCTTTGTTGGAGGTGATCTGACTTGGCTCGCCAAATTCTGGTGCACTTTTGTTTGGCCAGGCCCTATATTTCTTGTAACCCCTGACTTGCTGCAGGGTCTTCATTGGCTCTATCCGGCTCTATAGTGTCAGCATACAGCGCCCTACGCGCTGAGCTACGACCCTGGCTTGTTGCAGGGTCTTCACTGGGCTATACAGTGACAGTATACAGCGCTCTATGGCAGGTCGTCCTTGACGATAATCCGGGTATAGGCTGCGGCAAAGCTGTCTCCATCATGCAAGCTGGGTTTGTCGATGAACTTCCTTGTCGAATTGTTGGGACAAAACAACTGCTTAACCCGATACAAGAAACTACAAACTCATGCCTCAACGAAGTGGTTGCGAGAGTCTCTTCAATTAAGGCTTGAGGGCATCATTCAGTGTATGAGAAGCTTTCAACCAGCATGTGTTTGCTTGCATCAGTCTTACTGCCTGGCACTACCCATTCTGAACTCCTTGAGAGCACAATCCATCTTGCACTGACTACTATCTATTGGCTGCCCGCTTATGTGCTCTATGATGATTGATGATCATGCTTTCCAAGCTTCCTGGCAAAGAGGAAGTCAGACTTTCGGATAGCTTGGATTCCTTAGTGGCCGACAGCCAGCAAACTCAATACAGCAGCAACTGGCAGAAAAGCAACAGCCAAACAACAAACGACAACAGGTAGGGGAAAAAGTATATACATTGTGCTGAAACCTAGCACTTCTAGTGGTTCATGTTTGTATAATTAACAAGTCAGTTCCCAGCATCACGTCCAACACCGATCTAAACACCCTAGAACGAAAAACAAACAAAACCTACCTTTGCAAAAGAATCTGTATCTCCCCGCACCATTGAACATCCACTTCTATAGCGATTGCTTTCTCTGCTTGCTGGATCTGAGGTGCCTTGCATGGAGATCGTGTCCCACCAGCCAGGCCGCGCAGTCGCTCCATGTGGTATTGAGGCAGGATCCAATGTCCTGAAAAAGCTAGGCCGGTTCAGAAGGTCACACGTAGTTGAAATGCAAAGGCTCAGGTTGCTATGGAAAAGACTATATAGACACCCCTGCCAGGTTGTTGTACCTTACTGTGCTACCATTTTGCGGGATTGGCCGCCAGAAGGATGGCACCCATTCACTGGCAGTCATCTGATCTATCTCCTCGTTCCCTGCTCGAAACATGCAACAACCTATTCATGAACTACCTGGAACGGGTGCCAAGAATGGATGTAGGCTCTGTACACTCCACTAAGACCATGAACCAAGCGCCATGGCAACGTTAAATACAGCATATCCCAAACGGAACAAAGCGAGTGACCACCAAAACCAAAAGCACCGCTTGATGGTGCCCACTGGTCCGGTCGAAGAGTCCTTGCCCAGGCTGGGCAGAGGGTCAAGGTGCACCGATGGTCAAGGTGAAACAGGCACATGGCCGATTTCAATACTCAGCATTCAATCTCTCTCTGACCCTATGATTGCATATGATTGGACAGTTAGTGCCAACTTATGTGGTGAGATGGTTTTCTGTATCTTTCCATGTCTTTTGACCTTCTTAACGTATCAATTGGTCAACCTGAAACAGCTCTCCATATCCCCCAAAGAGCGCCCAGCTTCGAGTTCTGCCCCAAGCCTCAGCAATGACAGCCAAAGGGATCGTTGAGAAGATATCCTCCGTCAACACCGGGAGATTCTCATGGACCCCTATAGCAACCCATCATGTGCCCCTCGATACGTGATGCGACTATACTATATAGTTCCACCATCAAGATTGTAATGCACACCTAAACTCCTGCTGCGGGAAGTCATACACGTATATATGTATATATGGTGTCCGGAGTAACTTTTATTTGGGATCTTTTTTGTCTCACGTTTGAATTTCTTGGTTTAGTTTAGCTAGCTGTTCGTGGGTGGACAGCAGGTCCAGCAGCAACGGGCAGGAACAGCAGGAGAAGCAGTGGCTATCTCCTCTCTGCCTGCTCCCCATTCAAACTTACCACCTTTTGGACATTCAATATACTGTGTTAAATCAAGATATTGGCCCATGCTATACCCAAAGCTCAAGCACATCATCTAGCTTCCGTACGTACCTGAGGTTGTGTTGCCTACAGCGGGTTTCAACGTGCAACACACGTTCCACTTAAAACCTGCACTGGATTTCGTGCTTGGCCTTGGACATGGCATACCATGTGCAAATTTTGTCTGGGAAGGACGCAGCCTCCCTGTCATGAGAGCACAGAAAGCCTAGCACTGCAAACAGCGCAGATTAACAACTTGGCCACCTACATCGGCCCCTCCTTCCTTCCTTTCCCTGCTCTGCCCTTCCAAAAAGCGAATAAAACTCCGAAACTCAAACAAAAGCTGTCCCTAGACAAAATGTCATCCGAAGTGGTCCATGGCGAAAATCATTCGACCTAGGCACTGTTCGTGTGTTTGGCCCAAATCACAAAGGTGTCACCTCAGCCGGCGAGCTTCATATTTTGGGCGAAGAGGTCACGGAGTATGAGGTCACGGAGCTCCAACGAGTTCACAAAAGGAGGTATGTTGGATGCTTCTACATATGGTTGACTCAGAATTACCCCCTCGGATGCATCTGAGTAGCCGCTAAGTTCACAATAGACTGGTCATGTTATAGAAAAATTACAAACGCTAAGTGCGCCAAGTGAAATGATCCAAAAGCAAGCTAAGCTGGTGTTTCATTTAGGAGTCGCTTCACTCGAAGCTCGCAGGTTTTGCATGAACAGCAACAGATCTCTCAGATCAAGTCTTCTCAACAAGCCTCTGCGGGTTTCTCGATTGAAACAAGTGGCAGTTCTCAAACCAAGTCAGTCTCACCTCACCCAACTAGTGAACTCCAAGTCCACTGACCTCTCATTAACTTATCATAATTCTCCAGGCACTGCAAACGCTCTAGAAACACATCTTTAGGAAAAGCAACTGTGTATTTCCATGCTTCCGCTTTTGTAGTGGCAACTGTGGAATCCATTCAGACCAGTATCGTCTGACTCCGTCAAGTGACTAGGCCAGCCTCAAGGTCAACCAACCAGATTCCAAATTCCACTCTTCCGTTCAAGTCACATTGCCCTTGCCATCCAGCTTTATGGTCAATCTGCAAGGGAGAACCAGTGAACCGAGGCAGGTCAATGGGTTCATTTGCATCGGGGCTCGCTCTCTTGAGGGGCCCGAAGAGCACGGTGACGAACCAGAACTCATCCAAACCTCGCGAACGAAGGAGGAAAGCGAGGAGGGGCGAAGAGGGAGGGATGAAACAAGATGAAAAGGAGGGATGACCCATGTGGCACTTGTTCAAAGTCTGAGTTGTTTTTTTCTTGAGAAGCTGGTGACAGGTCAGAGTGCAAAGCTGCTGACCGGCAACAGCCCGTGTTTCGCTTGTCCGCGGAGTTCTTCCCACCACGCCTCAGGGGACAGCTCTTGGACCAAGACCGACTCAGACCGACCCGAACCGAGACAAGTTCGGCAGTGAAATGCAGTGAATGCATGTGAATACCCAGCATCCCAGGGTTTGACCTCATCCCAGTACCGTTTGGCCCTGGAAAAGGAAGTGTTCGAAACATATTGAAACAAAAACAAATCTGGCAAAACTGGAGCTTCCACATCCCTGGACTTCACTCCAATCAATCTTTTCGGAGGTCCACCTTTCCCCAAACAGCCAGGCCGCTGATTCATCTCGAAATCGATCATCAAGTTCCGCATGACGTTCTTCTGCCACTGTTCCACCGCTCGCTGTGCATGCTCGCGTGTCAATGTGCTCCACTGACTCGTCTTTACGGCCATTTGGAAGGCATCCCCACCAGCGGGCACCTAGGAACAAAGGGCATCGCTACGAACGGAGCAAGGACGCTACTAGGGGCTCCTGGCCGTACTACGAGGAGCAAGGACGCTGCTAGGAGCACTCTTACAAACAGGAAGCTGGCCTTTGGACGCTACTAGGAGCAATGCATTTTCACCAGCGGGCACCTCGGCCCAGTCTGCAGGCGGGGCAACGCAGAAGTCGGAGCCCTCACGCTGGCTCCAAACCTGGAAGGGGCTGCGGTCTCAGCGGTCTCTTCGGTGGCCCGGCCAGAGTGCATTTGGATCATTTGAAGATTGACCAAGACCTTGACACTCCCCAAGCTTGCTCAAGCAAAAACTCTATCTTCATGTGGGAACCCTTCATCGTGTGTACTGGACGCTGCACCCATGCCTGGTGAATGTGCAAAAAGGGCTTCGCTGGCAGGGTAGAGTCCGAGACGAAGGCGAACTTGTCCCGGGCGTTCCCGGCACCCAGGTCATTGCCTTGTGAGGAGTCGTTGCGCCACAACCGGGAGACATATTGCAGAATAGTGCTACGTTTGGAGTGGTTGCGGAGGCCAGGGGTTCAGCGAAAGTGTCAAGTTGTGAGGAGTCAGGCAATGAGGAGTTTAGCGGGTGAGCTGTCATTCAATGACCCAACAATGAAGATGTCGATGTCCAGTTTCTGGTCAAAGCTTCCGGTATATCACTGGCCGTTTCAGCACCTGAGATTTGCCAAGCGGCTGAGTGCATAACTGAGCAGCTGATTCATGGGAGAGACCAAATCCTTGCAGTACTTGCTGGGAACCTCACCCACGCATCCGCCGATGTGGCGGACTCGCGGATGTTGCGCATTGCAAAGGAACTCACAACATGCACGACAGTGTACTCAAACAGTGTAGGAACTCATTGATGTTCTCATTGCAAAGGAACTCACATTGCGTAGGGAAATTTGGTTGGTTGGATTTAACAGAAAAATACTTGCGGAATAACTGGGAGATGGGTAAATCCAACTTCATAGGATGACTCCTTGCATCAGCTCGAATAGCAATCCAGGCTTTAGGGCAGTCAAAGATTCTGCATGATTCTGCAACCCTCTCCAGTTGA